CTCCAAAAAGGTGCATCAATAGATGTCATTGCTTCATTATATGTCTTAGGATCTTCTTGTACTATAAAAGTGTAAAAATCTTCACCAAAATTCTTTTCAACTCTTCTTCTTTTACTCCTCCTAGGTTCTTCATTATCTTGATTGTTTGTTAATAGCTTCCCAACGGCATTTTCACTAATTTGCTTTGGAATTTGATCTCTCAACAAAAAAGTATTCTCAAAAAATACAACATCACGTGACTCCATAATAGTATTAACAGTAATATCTGAAATTTTTGATTTGATAACTAAAAATCTATATCCAACACTTTTTAACGCATAGCTTATAAAAACACAATCAACGGTTTTAGGTCCAAGCTTTCGTTTTTTATTCTTTGGAACACTTACTTTAGCTAGACACCCCCACACTTTAAGGTATCTTAAATTTGATTTTCTACCTTTCCACAATTCATAAGGAGTCTCATCATATTTTTATAAGGTACACGATTTAATATATAACATGCTGAAAACAAAGCTTCACCCCATGAATTATTTGCTACACCGGAACTAGAAAGCATCACATTTACCATGTCTAATAATGTCCTATTTTTCCTTTCTGCTACTCCATTAGATTGAGGTGAGAATGACAATGTCTCTTGATGAATAATTCCATGATTTTCAAAATATTCTACCATTTCAGTAGGTTTATATTCACCTCCTCTATCCGACCTTAATATTTTAATTTTCTTCTCTTGTTGATTTTCTACTTCTGATGTATAAATTTTAAAATTTTCAAATATATCGTCTTTTGTCCTTAATAAATATATATAACAATATTTTGAATAATCATCTATAATAGTTACAAAATATCTTTTTCCACCAAATGTCAAGATATTATTTAAATCACAAACATCGCTACGATTCAATTCAAGCAATTTGGTTTCTCTAACTACCGATTTAAAAGGCTTTCTAGGTTGTTTTGCATGAACACATATTTCACATTTTCCTTGAATTTTAATTTCAGATTTAGGGATTAGTTCTAAACTCGTCATTCTTTTCATTGTATTATAATTTACATGGCCTAATCTTTCATGCCACACACTTGAACATTCAACTTGATAAACCATTGAGTAAGAACTTTTATTATCACTAGGATTAGAAACAATTACATTTAACTTAAAAAGACCTTCACACAAATAACCCTTACCAACAAACAAACCACTCTTACTAATTACAACTTTATTAGACTCAAATACAATTTGATAGCCATGTTGAACTAGCAAGGACCCAATGACTAAATTTTTCCTTATATCAGGCACATGCTTGACACCATCCCATGTAAGAGTCTTTCTCGAAGTAAACATAAGACTAACACGTCCTTCTCCAAGCACACTAGTGATGCTACCATTGCCCCTACTCACAGTTCTAGTGTCTGACTCCTGATAAGAGGAAAACAATGACTTATCAGAACACACATGAATATTAGCCCCAGAATCAATCCACCAATCATTTGTTTGATATATCGTATTCACTTCGGGACTATTTGAAATATACCTGTTACTAAGACCAGTCATTGAATCCCTTATAGTCACCACATTGACTTGAGACTTGGGAGTAGCTTGATGACCACGATCTCTATTTGGTTAACCCTTACGGTGGTAGCAATCTTTTGCATAATGATTGGTCTTCCCACATACCCAACAAGATTTTTGATATTTTTTATTTTTGTTTCCATATTGTTTATTGAAATTTGCATGTTTATGAAAATTTGTATTTTTGAAATTTTTGGGTTTTGGCTTAAAAGCTTGATTTTCTACTAGAAGTGCCTTGTTTTGTTTTTCTACACTTGATTTATCTTTTTGAGTCTCTCTATGTTTTTCTTCAATTCTAAGTGAAATTAGCAACTCATCAAAAGAGAATCTTTGAGGCTTTTGTTTTTTGGTATTCTACCAAACTCAGACCAAGAAGGAGGTAATTTTTTAATTAACCCACCAACAAGAAAATTTTCTTGAAAAGTCATGCCCTTCATCTTTAATTCATGGACTATGTTTTGAAACTCATGGACTTGATCCATCTCAGATTTTCCATCTATCATTTGAAAATCAAAGAATTTTTCAGTGTAGTACCTCTCTAGTCCAGCATCTTCAGTACCATATTTTTTATCTATAGTTTCCCAAAGTTCTAGTGCTGATTTAGTAGTGCAAAAAATATCATAGATAGGTTCAGTAAGTGCACTAAGAATTCTGCCATGACACAGGTAGTCTTTTTCTATATCAGAAGGAGATTTTGTTGACTTTTCAGAGACTAAACTTGTACTAGTTCCATCAACAGTAGTTGTTTCATTAGTTTGGACTTGGGTATGTTTATTTTCCTCAGGTTGAGTAGGTTTTTCAAACACAGAAATTAAACCCAAAGTAGTCAACCATAATTTCATTTGTTGTTGTCATCTTCTAAAGTGTTGACCGTTGAACTTCTCAGGTTTGCAAGAATTACATTCAATAGTGCTCATATTTCAAATAAGAGAAATGAATAAACAAATAGAAAAAACAAGTTTGCCTACGTTATTCTAAACTTAATTTTATCTCTTCTTAGATTGTTAGAAAATTAAACATAAAAACACAGATTCATAAATTAAATAAACATGCAAATATATCAAATAAACTCAATCGAACTTAGATAAAAAATAATTTTAGAATAGCCTGGTTTGAGGCGCGAGATGAACGTTGTCCTAAGAAGAGATACGTCCCCTCCGCACAGAGTTTTCTGACGTTCTTTTCCCAAGATACAACAATCCAAGAGAAGATACGGTGTAGGCGTGAATCTCTCTCTAACGAACTAATCTCATCCAAGTTACCCACAAAACACCCCAAAACTAGTAAATAATGAAAGAGAATATGTATATGAAAGATGTTTTTCTATATCAAAGGAAGATTGATCACATGTCTATTTATATATTAATGGATAACCATTATCCTTTAAGGCTATATATATATATATATATGAAATGCTTGGCTTCAACGGCTAGTAACTCCAATGTATATATATACGTATTAATGATATATGTAGTTATTACATATAACTCCCCCTAAAGAATTTCAACAATCAAAAATTAAAATCATTTAAAATCATAATCATAAAATAAACGTGGGGCTGAAATTATTAATATGAATAAATGATAATAAAATTTAATTTTAAATCAGTTTTCACTCTATAGCGTCTCTATATGAACACAAAGCAGTGTTTGTAGTGGACAAGCAATAAAATCAAATTTTCACTTTATGGTGTCTCTTTATTGTATGTGTTTGATTGCAATGTGGTAGCCTTAAAGTGTAACAACAAAGAGTGACTCCCACATAACTCCCAAAAATTAAAGTTTGGTACTCAATTCTCAAATCTAGGCTAATAGTGTGACAACAAAGAGTGAATGTGCTCAAACCACAAAGCTAACCTAATTGTATGACAACACAAAGTGAATCCACACTTAACATATAAACTATGAAAATTAGTACTTAATTCAATTAGTAATTGTGATAATCTGATAGAAAAGAGTGCATCCACACATAAATAGAAAAAATTGAAAACTGGCACTCAATTCACAAAACTAGGGTAAAAGAGTGACAACAAAGGATGAATACACATTTAATACACACAAACTATGAAAAACAGTGCTTAATTTTTTAAGAAGCTAGTGTAATAGTGTGACAACAAAGAGTGAATCCTCAAATACTCTAAAACTTTGAAAATTGATACTCAGTTCGCGGAGTTAGGATAACAGTATGACAACAAAGAGCGAATCCACACATAAACACCCAAAATAAGAAAAAATAAACTCATTTCATAGTCAACAAAATAGTGTGATAATAAAGAGTGAATTCACCCATAAATATAAAATCTTCAAATTGCTACTCATTACATACAATTTATAAATAGTATGTCAACAAATAATGAATCTAGCCATTACCCCAAATTTTGAAAATTTATTGAAACCGAATTTTTAAATTTGCTATAGAGTGACCTCATAGTGTGACACCATACAAAAATTTAATGTAAATGATAAAAATTGCAAGAATAAAATTACAATTTTAACATGCATTTGATTTATCATAAAATATTATTACATAATTTCCAATACAAATAGGGTTTATGTAATATAATTTTTTTAAAATTTTTTTGGGGGAGAATGAGAGAAAACTTAAACCCTTGACTTCAAGAAAGTAAATTATTTACAAGACAAAAAGTATTATTGAATGACAAGCTCATTGCTATGTATTATAAGTTTTGGGGGGTTTAAGCAAAATAAAAAAATAATAAACAAAATCCTTACCATCAATTGTTGATGCTAACAGAGTGAAGTCGACTTTCTTTGCTGCTTAAAGAAAAAAACAATGTTCGTTGATGCTGAATAGAAATATTAAATCGTTGTATTAGAGCAATTTTTTTGTTTCACACAAACTGCTAAAATTGTCCTCAATATAGGACTCCGTAATTTCTGTAACAATATAATCTATTTTTTTTAAATAAAAAAAAAGGAGTCAACAATTCCATTGTAAAACAGTTTTGAAGAAGATATTTTGAGTGATTGAGTCTGCTACACAACAGGAGGATGAGTCTAATCCTCATAAACTTCAACTGCCATATACTTTTGAATGTTGAGTTATAGAATTATTCAAACTCTATCAGCTGAGATATTGTCGGACAATTAGACTGTACACGCTGTGTATATTTAGATATATAAAAAAATATAAAAAGTTCAAATTCAAAACTCTACTGCAACTTTACAACTAGAAACAAGATCAATAATCTCACTTTTTTAAACAATATCGTAATTTAATAAATAAGTTGAAAAGTATTGTGTATAGATAAATAAGTTTAAAAAACAATTATATTGCGGGAAATAACTCAAACAAGAAGACCACTAATATAAGCTAAATGGCATAAAATACTTACTTTTCAAAAGTCAATCAAAGTGAAGACCAAAAATCTGGAACCTCACGTAGGACCCACCCCAAAACATTTCACTTCTCATCGACCCATAGGATTCATGATCTCTGAGAACAGAGTCATATTTTTTAATTTGTCACTGTTAGTCATTGATCTTAACACATTTTCATCATTGTCGGTCATTGATTCTCCATGCAGAGGAGGAGTCAAGGGACTGGCCAACGCTACCGGTAGTAATCCACCTCCACCTCCACCTCCACCACCACCATCACCTTGACCCTTCATCTCAGCCTCCTCTTGAAGTTGCAAAGAAAACTCAAGGCCCCACAAAACATTATTTATTCCTGGTCGTTTGAACCCATTTTCACGCAAGCAACTATCACCTAATTCGCCAAACTTCTTCAAGCACTCTGGCGCAATCTCCTCCCTTATATTAGGGTCAACAATTTGATCAAGGGTCCCATTTTTATAACAATGGCGAGCCCACTCAGCCAAATTCACTTGATCCTCGGGTAAATCTAGAATTATAGCCGGCCTAGCACATAAAACCTCAAATAAAACCACCCCAAATGAGTACACGTCCGATTTCTCTGTCAATTGTTGTCGTTTATAATATTCTGGATCCAAATATCCGAAACTACCCTTCACCGTTGTGCTGACGTGGTTATGGCCTGCATCTATGGGACCCAGTTTGGATAATCCAAAATCAGAAATCTTAGCCACCCATTTCTCGTCCAATAAAATATTGGTGGACTTCACATCGCGGTGAATGATCGTGCGTTTCGCACCTGTGTGGAGATAATGTAGTCCCCTTGCAGTGCCAATGCAAATCTGAAGGCGTTGCTTCCACGGAATGGGTTGTTTCTTTGATTTGTAAAGATGATCACGGAGGGTCCCGCGGGCCATATAATCATAAATCAAGATCATCTCACGGTTGTCGTTGCAATAACCGATCAACGACACCAGATGGAGGTGGCGTAACTTCGATAGCATACCAATCTCTGTTTGGAACTCGCGGGCCCCTTGATTTGATGATGGGTTCAATCGTTTGATCGCAACGGTGGTTGCACCGTTGTCGATGTGGCCCTTATACACATTACCAAATCCTCCTGCCCCGATGACAAAATTGTCATCGAAGTTGCATGTAGCTGATGTGATCTCCTCAAGTGAAAAGCGTCTGCATAGATCAGACGGTAGTGATGAACCGCTGGTTTTTGTGGACTTTGAACGGTCAGATAAGGGGACCCACGACGACTTGGGCTGTGTTGAGCCCAAGGCTTTCACTCTCCTCCGTCGTCGAAAAATCAAGAAACCTAAGATCAAGACTAGAACAGACCCTCCTCCGACTACGGTGCCGATAATGACCGCCCACCTAGGTGTTTCTTTATTGTTCTTCTTCTGCGGTGACAAGGTGAATGGTCCCGACGGTGGACTGAGTACAAGTTCAGGGTTTGCCCCCGCCAGACTACCGTCTGTTCTATTCAATTTGAAGATTTCTAAACCATTCAATATAGCATCAGCGTACTCGGGTCTAAAGTCGAGCTCAGGGTACATAGCGAGCCACAAGTCTTGCTTGCTCTGGCGACCATCTGGGTCGGTGACCATGATGACGTAGTCTTTGAACACTGGGATTCTAGTGCCACCACTCCACTGGATAACATCTGCTCCTCTCTGTGCCGTTTGATTGTTGATGTATATTATAAAAACCCTTTGGTTCTTGAGGGTCACCTCCAATTGAATCTCGCAGAAATGGAGTCTGAGAAGATAATAAAACCCAGAATCAACAGGAAATTTCCATGTCAGATTGTATCTTAAACTGTCGTTGCCCATGGTCCTTGTGGTTGTGTAAATGATCTTCGGTGCAGTGTAGGGTGGTGTCTCCTGTCTATATCGGATTGCGACGTCCCTGTGAGGTGTAAACCCATAATCTTCGTAGGTGTAATCGTCGTCCGGACTCCATAATCGAAACATTCCCGTATCATTGGTTATTGAGACCTCATTACCGCCAACATTTAATCTATAGAGAGTCTCAAGAGCAGGGTTGTTATCAATATAAAATCTTTGGTTCTCGCTCACTAGTGGGATTGGATGATCATTGCCGCGAATGTAGAGATTTTCTGGCATTGAAACGACTTCAATGCCATTAACGAAGGCGTAAGAGTTCGGAGAAGGCCAAAAGGTTATATTCAGTATCTGGTTGTCCCTAACATTGACGATGAACTCCTTTATAAGGGAAGCAACTGCGGGTTTCATGGCGGAGACAGTGAGGAAGGCACTGAAGTTGTTTAAGAGGGTGTAGTCGTTGGAAGTGAGGGAGAAGAAAGAGTTGGTAATATCGAGCTCAGAGTAATTAACTGGGTAGAAATAGAGACGAATGAATTTTGGTCCGGCAGAGACTGGGAATGAGTAGGTGAATTGAGAGTGGAAGATACGAGAAGTCTTGTAGGGCACTTGAATGACAGACTTGGAGGATGTAGCATTCGACGACGTGTTTTCAATGTTCGACGGCGAGAATTGTGAGCGGACATCGCCGTCCCAGCTCCGGAGGCTAGCGTCGGTGGTGTTAGAAGATGAACCACAGTCGAGGAGAATGTAGTCGGTGGGAGTGTAAGGTAGCCAGGGGCTGTTGTCATCTACGGCGGCGGCGGTGATGGTGGTGGAGAGGAGGAGGCAGAGAAAGGAGGAGAGTTGGAGAGTTGAGATGAGCATGGGATTGAGCTTCGGAAGAGAAGGGGTTTGATGGTGGTGACTGATCTTGATCATGGTCATGAAGCTAAAAAAGGTAATGGTAATGAACTGTTCCACTATTTGAAATGGAGCTTGAAATATATTCAGAGAAAAAAATATTCAGGGAGGACGACTTTGACTTCCAAGTCTTTGGATTGGTTAACGTGTGCCTAATACTATTTTTGATGAATATGAACTTGAGAACCTTGACTTATACATGATATATACATAATTACAATTAAATTTTATATGAATTAAATATAATAATGTTAAAAGTATTTGTTTTAAAATTATTTTTTTATTAACAAATTTATCCACAACTCATTTAACAATTAATTTGTTTAGCTCAACTCAAAACTTAGTATTACAACATTTAATTTTTAATAAACTTAGATTTCAAAAAAAAAAAAAAAACAACTTATAAGGATTATAAATATTCAAATTGAATCTATGATAAATTTTAATGGAAAAAGTTGAATCTATGACAAGCTTATTTGTGCTAAGAATCTATCACAACTTATGGGTGGTAGGTTTGGTTGTAAGAGAAGGCTTCTAGTGCTTGACAAAATTAATAAACAGACTGGATTAGTGTTAACACACTTAACATACTTAATTACATGAGTTATTTTAGAATTAATTAATACTCGACTCAAATTCGAAGTCCCATCACATGATTCGAATGCCATCGTTAGTTGCAAAGGAAGAGAAAAAATTAGAGATTAAATAAAGAGTTGTATGAGAAGTTCAACAATTTTTTTACAAACTTTCAATCAGGGCAAGTTCTAAATAATGTTAAATTTCTCAAATTTTCAAATAGACTGCAAAAATTTTTAAAACCGCAGTAGGGACAATTGTCCCATGCTAGATTCGCCCCTGCACGATTCATTTGTATTATGTGATTCCCCTTTAAATTTATGAAGAGTGATCTACTATTAATAGAAATTGAAAAAAACTACGAGAATCCAAATCCTACTTAAATGAGTGAATTCTGGCAATTTTGAACAATTACAATTTTTAACGAAAAAGAATAAAAAATATGATTAGACCCAAATAGTATTAGAGATGAGCATGGTTTGATGTTTGATAGCGAAGGTGTTTGATGGTGGTGAGTGGTAAGAGCTTATGGGGAAGACTGCGTGGACTTAGAAATTTTTGGATTGATTCATTTATATATTTTGAATGCCACTTAAATTCATAATTAATGGTTTATGATTCAAAAAATTGATGAAAAATATATGAGAGTTAAAGTGAGCGGATATTGGATAATTTCGGGCTATTACATTATATTGGGAGAAAGAATAAAAATGTGGCTAGGCTACTATGGTCTTTAACCCAATATTTGTTTGAGGTAGGTTTTTCTTTAGCTAGGCTTGTTATATGATTTGAGAAGTTCAAGTCCGCCTCACTTTTAACTTATTAATATCATTAAATAAACCGAATTTTAATCAAAATTTTGAACTCCTTTAAAAAAACAAATCAAAGTTGAGTAACATATATCTCAAAAAAAAATTCAGCTCGACTCAAATAGGGTTCTTATCTATAAATAATTTAGCACAGGAGAATTTTAACAATGAATAGAGATAACAATCCTCTCGATGGTGAACCTAAAACAACTAAGAGGTCAGAAAAGGGGCCGGGTGATCACCCGACTTATCTCCTCCTAAGCTTAAGTCAATATACGTTTGGAGGGTTGAGCATAGTATATCTTTTTCTCCGTTTAGTTTGCGTATCTTTGTTCATCTTTCTGAGAGGTATTTATACATGTACCACTAATGAATGAAAGGGTCTTGAGTCCCATCACGACATTTAATGACTTGCACTCTTCTCCACGCGTAATGAATGTTCTACACTCAGATTCTCGTGAGCGTTCAATGCTCGGGTGATAGGACAAGTGCTCGGAGGCATGCCGAGCACTTATTACTACCTCCCGGTCATGTAAGTTCCTCTGATCGGTGTTCGACACCTATTCTCGAATTTTTAATGCTCGGGGTACAATACATCAGGGTTTGCTGAGTACACCTGGTCGGCGCTATGACCATTAATGCTCTGCAATCATGACCGTCAGTTTGGGGTCTTGAGGATGCAGAGACTCATTAATAGGCCTGTCACAGTCACTCAAGTCCTCATTAATGAGTTGTCATATCTCCTTAAATGTTGATCCCAACCTACTCACTCGGCTCTTCTAAGTAATAACTCATCCGCGCCTTTTGAGTTCCATAACGACTATATCAATTCACGTGTCAGTTTGGAGGTTGCTATACTGCCTAAAGTCCCGTCATAATTCTTATTTTACTACCAAGCAAACTCTATTGGAAATGTGAACAACCCCAAAACTAGCCACAAATAACTCCAGGTTATATGCATTCTCTTTTCCAATAGATTTTTTGAAGAATTAAACTTTATGGTTGATTAAATATATTTTGAAAGATGTTTAAAATAACATGAGGATTAATTACTAAGTTCTACAGTTAGTTCTTATATTTTCTTTTGTTGAAAAGTTGAGCTCGATTTCGACTCCAATATATACTTGAAAACTCATACTGGGTTGAACTTGAGCTTGAGTTCTACTACTTCTAACCGAGTTGTGAATTCTATAATACTTGATGGTATAAAAAATCGACAAGCATGAGGAAGAAAAACTGAATCAGCTCTTGATGAGGTGTGTTAGACGTGTAATGCAAAGTGAGTAAGAATGTATAAAGAAATTAAGTGGTTCGCTCATCTAAAGAGCTGATTTAATCCACTGTAATAAAAAATTTTGCTCCTTGGCAATGTATTGCTTAAGGAAGAAGAAGGTTATAGACTAGGATTTCTTGCTTATGGCCCAAGGCAATGTACATGCGTGCCTTTTCTAAAAATAATGGTGCAATCCTAACAAACTTATCAAATAATATTTAAAGGAATATTTGATTGTTAGAGGTTTTTCTCTTAGATGTGACGTGACTTTTTACAAATGATATGTAGTTTTCAAAAGTTGATAACTATTGTTTAAGGTAAGTTTTATGGGTGGAGTCTTTTTTTACTGTTTCCTCGTGATTCCCAAGCTATTACTTGTCATCGAACAATTATGACAAACCTCGCCTGTTCAAGTTCAGGTTGGCACATAGTGACAGTTATCCAAAGTATTTATATAATTAGAATTAACCATTAATAGTAAAATTTAAATCTATTAAGTATACTATTATATGTCAACTATTTAATCAAAATAAAATGTTAATAATTAGATATTGAAACAACACATTTACTGTGACGCAGAACAGCATGTATAGAAATAATTCAAAAAATTAAATATAATTCAAACTCTATATAATCACAATTTTCTTGAAACAGATTTGAAAGATATGGTGTATGATGGTGGTGAGTCTGGTGACTGATGATGAAGCTGAAGGGTAATGGTGATGAAGAAGTAGAGGTTATGGATAGAAGAAAAGTAGTGGTAGTACTGGTAGAGAGAGAAGGAGATGTGTAGAGTTATGGTGAACATGGGTGGTATGAGCTTTGAAAGATATGGTGTATGATTGTGGTGAGTCTGGTGACTGATGATGAAGCTGAAGGGTATAATGGTGATGAAGTAGTAGAGGTTAAGTATAGAAGAAAAGTACTGGTAGAAGACTGCGTGGACTTGGAAGTCTTTGGTTTTGGATTGATTCTTGGGCGGCTATAACACGTTCCCAAGTCAGTTTTCATTTTTTTTTTCCACAAGCGTACTTTTTTCCACAAGAGTAATCGTTATATTAACACAAAATTCTAATGTTTAATGTGATCCACAATTAATCCAATGATTATAGTGAATTAGATCGGTAAAATAAGTCAATAAGTTATGTCTCACTAACATTCTTGAAACTTTATCCTAATGGTTGTTCTCTCCTAGATTAATAAATCCAAGGAATTTGATTACTATAGTGAAAAAAAATATTTACAAATGTGATAAAAAACACTTATAGGTATAGTAAAAATACTCACAAATGTGGCAAATTTTTTTGTATCAAATAAAAATGGTAAAAATAGTTATTATAAATATAATAAAACACCCACAAAAGTGATAAATCACCTACAAAAATGATAAATTTTTTAGTTGTAAAATAACCCCATAAAAGTTATAAAAACACCAATTAAAGAGGTAAAATAACTCATAAAAGTTATAAAAACACCATTACGGTGGTAAAAGTTAGACGTATAATACCATATTAATTTTTTTTGGGTACCGTAATTAAATCCAAATCTAAGATAAAGGAAAAGAGAAATGGAGGGATGCCCCTTGGCTTCTTTCTCCTGTTGAACTACTTTGTTCCAGTCACCAGGCAAGATACCATAAGTGCTCAATAAGGGAGGGAGTTTGCATCGCCGTGTGAAATCCTCCGGTCAAACTTTAATGTTTGGCACGCCACTACGAGAATGATATAAGATAGATCACACAGCTAAAGTATTAAAATGTGGATGAGAAATGAATGGCCAATGTCTATTATGAGAGCTTGTACCACATTGGATGAGGACAAATTGATAATGGCTCTATTATGAGAGCTCTGTTACCTACCCAAGAGCCATATGTAAATTTCGAAAATTACTAAAATGTAATTTTTTTGTAAGACAGGCTACAACACAAAAAATTAGGCTTCGTGAAATATTCAAACCTTAATCTATTCTCGTGTTAAATTTATGAGGTGATTAAACTGCCACTAGACTAACCTTTATTTGTGTGCAAACAGTTCAGTAATGAGCTAGTCAATGCGATATACATTACTCTCAAATGTCGACAAGTCATTCATCATACATGTGTATAATTATATATTCCTGTCTATATATACGGCAAGAAGATTTGGTTTTTGTTGGTTTTTTTTTTGTGGGAGAGAGAGAGAGAGACCACAACAACACATTTTCCTCTATACTTTGTTATATTTTTCTTTGATACTAGCAATGAAATATTATATATATGTGATTTGTTCCAATTTCGGAGGGGTGTTTGAGAGAAGAGAGAGAGAGAGAGAGAGATAAAATTTTTCAAACTAGATGGTGGGAGACAGAGAAGCTAAAAGGTT